ATGCTGCCAGAGGTTTCAGTTTCAGTATTTCTGCAGCTTCAACAGGCAAGAATGTTTGTTGAATAAGTTCCTTGTCCCAGCCTCCATTTACTTTGCATAATTCAGACACTTTGCTCAGAGCATTCTTATCTCTTTCAAAATAACAAAAAGGTTTAAAAAAAATGGGAAGTAGGAATCCAAGGGGACTCTCATATATAAATAGAACAATCATCACCAATCTTATATCTAAGCCCCATCCTAAGAACATACCTAGCTTTCAACCGAGATTTCCAAAGCCAAGAGTCTGAAGTTTTTGGTACAACATCAAACAAGTTCTGATTATGAAAGTATTTACCCATAATCACTTGACTCATCAAAAGATTGGGTTGAGATATTACTCTCCAAAGTTGTTTAGCAATCAGGGCATCATTAAAAAAAGAGAAATTATTGAACCCCAAGCCCCCTCTATCCTTAGGAAGAGCTAATCTATCCACCCTGCCCAGCGTATTCTTTTTTTCCTCCTTCATAATAACCCCACCAAAAATCACCAATGACTCTACAAATACTAGAACAAATGCTTGTAGACAATTTAAAACAGGACATTATATGAACATGAAAGTGTTGGGATCAATGAAGATCTCGTTATGCACAAATTACGAATTCAATAGCAAAACGTAAACCTATGCGCAGCGGATCTAAAGGTTTGCGTAGAGAACTTACGGCTTAAAAGGATGGCCGTACATAGCATACCAATGAATTGTTGACTGCAAATCGCGTCCTAGGATTGCACGAACAAGATCGGATCGAAAACCGGATCAAACGAGTGCAAAACGGATGAAGACAAGTTGTAGTCCTGGGACCTTGCGGCGGCGCGTGCGGGCGCGTGGGTGGTTGAACGGCTACGATCTCGGCGGCGTTGGAAAGCTCTCGTCGAGACGGTCGTCTAGGTATGCTGCACGTCTTGATCGGACCTCCAGTTAGTTCTGTACGACCAAATATATTTTGTCTAACTTTACCCAAAGGTCTTCTACTGTATATCTCAAACACCTCTTAATCTTGTACTAGTGGAACAATAAGAAGAAGATAAAGCTCGAATGAGAACTGAGAGAGAGAAGAGAGGCGTGGGGCATGATTTCCAAAATGTGGAATTCTCTTTTCTTTCCATGAGCTTAATGATGTATATATGGAGCTACAGTAGGGATCCTTAGGAGATTAGAATTAGGGCTCATTAATTAATTAAAATACTTATGGACAAAGCCACTTATTTTAATTAATTAAATAATATTAAATGGGTCACCAACATAATATTATTGCACTCTATTTTCCTAGCCCAATTTACAATTGAGACTCCAATAATAATTACTCGATTTATCTCCCCGTGTTTAAGATAATGTCCATTAATTAATTTGATTACTGACAATCAAGAATTAATTAATTTATTATTATTTCACCGAAGCTAGCGCTCGTTCATCACATTATTACTATGCCGGAATTTAATCCACCTTCAGGGTTTAGCATAATAATCCTTCATGAACTCACTTCGGGGACATCATCAAACTAACGCACATGGTGACCGTAAATATCCTAACATCACATCCTACATGTAGCAATATTACCCAAGACAGCGGGTCTATTGGCCCATTTCACTAAGCCTCACCCATGTGAATCAAAGTAATAAATACTACACATATATGTCTGTTTAATATCTTACAGGTTAGGAGTACGCAGTAATTAACCGAGGCCTAGTTCGTTTACGATGATTAGTATAAAACGAACTGCTCCTCTCTGGGATCTTGTTCAATACATAAATGTACTAGTGCAACTAATCAGTCAAGACAAACTGTACAGTTGACACTACAATCATTCGCGATGGGGTGTTCATGTCCATCTGGGTTGTGAACCACTTATTCTTGTTTCGCGAGTAACTGACAGCATGATCTTCGGTTCGCCCGATGACGACCCACACTATCTAATGCAAAACAACAGAACGTAGAACTTGTTTAATCGAACATGTTTCTCATTCATAATGGGTAAAAGTGTAATATCATCCAAAGCCAAGCTTTCAGTATATAACACTAACAGTAAGGCCCCCAGAACAGATTGAATCAATACTTCCCTCCCACCCTCACTCAAAAACCTATTTTTCCAATTGGACACTCTAGCAAGGACACAATCTGACACAAATTTAAAGGTATTAAGTTTTGATCTTCCAATACCTAGGGGCATACCTAGGTATTTAGAAGACTGAACCACTTGAACCCCTCCAAAAAGTTGGCAGATATAGTCCCTGGATTCATCAAGAGTAATTTTAGAGAAAAGGATAGAGGATTTAGACATACCCTTTTTAGAGAATGTTAATAAGTTCCAAAACCCATTTTGTGAGAAGCAAGGAGGTCAACCTCATACAACCCGGGATGGATCTATGAGAATTCACCTATCTCAATAACATAAAAAAACCTGATTTGAATGATCCTGTATTAAGAGCTAAATTGGAGAATGAAGGTTCGATGTAATTGATAAACAGGGCTGAAGTGAGAATTCACGTGATATTGATAACCTGACCAGAAGCTTTTCCATAAGAGCTCAAAATAGAATGAAGAATATCTGCATTCTGTCTATTAGCCTTGCAAAACACAATAGAATCATCAGCAAACAAAAGGTGAGAAATAGCAGGAGCAAAAGGCCCTATTTTAATACCACTAAAATTAGAATAAATACAAGCCTGGTGCAAGGAAAATGACAAGGCTTCAGTAAAGATCAAAAACAGGTAGGGAGATAATGGATCTCCCTGCCTTAAACCTCTAGAAGGTTTTACAAAACCTTTGGGCTGACCATTTATATTAAAAGAGAAGGAAGAGGTATTTAAGCAACTAAAGATCTAGGAAATAAAAGTTTTACAAAAACCTAACTTTCTCAAAATAAGAATGAGAAAATCCCATTCAACCCGGTCATAAGCTTTGGACATGTCTAATTTTAGGCCATAAAGGAATTTTTTCCTTTCCTTTTACTATTCAAAAATGGACACATTCATTTGCTAGGATAACATTGTCAATAATTTGTCTTCCTGTTACAAAAGCAGCTTGTTTTGGGGATATACAAAAGTGAAGGACTGTCTTAAGCCTATTTGCCACTATTTTGGATAAAAACTTATAAATAGCAGTGCATAGGCTAATAGGCCTAAAATCAGCCACTTTACAAGGGGTTACAAATTTTGGGAATTAAAGAAATATCAATATGATTAATTTTTTGAGGAATACGGCATGTTTGAAAGAAATTTTTAATAGCTATACAAAAACCAGTTTTAATAATGTGCCAGCAAGATTGGAAAAATAGAGGGGTCATACCACCAAAACCAGGGGCTTTTTGGGGGCTCATCTCCATCAGTGCATCCTTGATCTCCTATTCTTTTACCTCTTTTATCAAAGATTAATTCATCTGTTCTGTAATTACTTCCTTAAAACCCTCAAGGTTGTAATCCTCCACTCTATGTTCTGAGGATGTGAATATCTTTTGAAAAGAATCCACTCTCTTTCAGTATTTCCTGCTCATCCTCACATCTGCATCCATTTTCTCTTACCAAAAGCTCTATGTTGTTCTTTCTTCTCTGATGTTTAACACAAGCATGAAAATATCTTGTGTTTTTGTCACCATTTTTAAACCACTGAATTCTTGACTTTTGCCTCCAGAACTCTTCTTCCTCCAAATATGCCTTGTGCAACTTTTGTTTAATCTCCACCCATTTGTTCCAATCTTTTCTGCTCCCCAAATTTAACATCACTGCTAGCTGTGAGTTGTAACTTTCTATCATGAGTGTTGAATTTGTGACCTGTTTTGCCTTCCATCCCAATAGAGGCATCCTTGTATTTTTGATTTTGTTTTGTATGTTGTACAAAGGAGGACCTGATACTTCCTTTTGCCAAGCTTCAGACACTGTTTCTTGAAAACCCTTCTTCTGTGGCTATCTTGCATTAAATTAGAATCTTTTCTTCCAAACACCTGCTTCTTGAGTAGTATCCATAAGGAGAAGACAATGATCAGATGATATTCTGGGAATATGTGTGATAGTAGTCTGAGGAAAGGTTAAGAGCCACTCATCTGATAGGAGAAACCTATCTAATCTCTCTTCCACAAATCCCTCCCCATTTCTATTATTAGACCAGGTCTAATGGTAGCCTTTAAAGCCTATATCTTGAACATTAAGATACCCAATTAATTTTCTAAAGCTTCTAAAATTATTCTCAGACCTTACTTTACCCCCTCCCTTCTCCTCATTAGACACTAGGTCATTAAAATCCCCCCAAAACAATTTATCACCCCATAATAAATTGTGTCTCCTAATGGCTTGCCATTGAGACTCCCTCTCAATACTGGAATTGCTAGCATAAACAAAAACAACCCAAAATTTACTACTATGATTAGGAATCATAAAACAGAATTCTAACCCAAAACAACTACTAATAATATCCAAAATAGTTACCCTATCAGACAAACACATAAATAAACCCCCTTAAGACATACAGGATCCACCACAAACCACATATCTCCGACTTAAATTTTTGCAAACAGTTTTAACAAAACTCTTTTTCTTTTTGGTTTCAGATAAAAACACAAAATCAGGGAGGTAGAATCTTATAAATTCCTTTAACTGGGAATTTGTAGAAGGCCCCTCAGTCCTCTACAATTCCATACTATAGCTTTTATTGGCTCCCTTGGGACCACTTTTGGCTTGTAACCTCCACCATATCTACAACTGACCCCTCCTGAACTTCTACCAGATTAGAAATTTTATGTTTTTTAGCCAACCTATGATCCAACTCCATGTCTATCAGAGTGTGATCTGTTTTCCTTTTAATTTTATCATCTTCATAACTTATCTGAGAAACAAAAGTTTTAACCCCCCCTGAAAGTTTCCCAGATTTCCTAGCTGAAATTTAAGGTTTTCTATCACCTACAGATGGAACAGACTTAGGATGAAGATCCTTAATGATCCTATCAGTTGCTAGATGCACAGGTATAGCTATCTAATTATCTAAATGCATCAGGTCCCTTCTATCAACATACTCCACATCTAAGTTTTGTACCATTGGGTCATTGAGGGTACTGACTCTAGTGTCCTCAGTAGGAATAAGGCTTTGAGGATGTTTGTTGGTTTCACTATATGGGTTACTTTCTATTGCCCCCATTCCCTTAGCTTCTACTAACCCCTCATTCCCCTTAATGGTAAGAATATTAAGAAATTTTCTCCCCTCCCCATTATTAGCTTTAGCATCCATGGCTTTTGTGTCCACATATTGCCTCCCCTCTACCCGAGGTTTGTTCTCACTAAAGGCTACCCCTCCCCCTCTATATCCTATCCCACTAACCTGAGCAGATCTTAACCAATCTCCATATTGACCACTACCAAACAATTCCTAGCTACCTCCTCTTTTTTGTCTTTCACATAATTTCAATGTATGTCCTATCTTCCCACAATAGTAGCAGAAATTCTGGAGGTTTTCGTATTTGAAATTGACCCATTTGGATTCACCTCCCATCTTTAGCTTTGTGCCCATTAGAAGTGGCTCATTCAGGTTTAGATCCACAAGTATCTTCACAATTCTTCCTCTTGCTCCCCCCACCACAGCTGCAACTTTGTTAAATAATTTCCCAATCTTCAAGCCTACCTCCTCTGATACCCAATGTAGCGGTAGATCATGAATTTGTAGCCACAACTCTATCTTTTGTTCCTCCGCAGTGTATCTGTTGTTCTCCTCACTCCATTCTTTTAGCAGCAAATATTGTCCGTCAAAGTTCCACGCTTTCCCCTCCAAAACTCTTCGTCTGTCTTCAGCCGATTGAAATATAAATTGGTACTTGTTGTTGCCCACCATCCTCGTCGTGAAAGGCTTATGAGTAAGCCAAATATTCTGCATCGGCGCTTTAAGCCCGACAAAGTTTGCTTTCTTTTCCCAAAATAGGTTTCCCATTAGACTCAACGAGCATTCCTTTTCTCCGATGCGAATATCCTCCGTCAAGATTTCTATTCCTCCTTCTTCTTTTTCTGAATGTTTGAACTTTTTGAATTCTTCTGCCAGATCTGCTTTCATGAGAACTGTCAAACCCTAGTGCCATAGACCAGAGAATCAATCCTTGACCAAGGCCCTTACTAGGAGACAAATATGCAACAAATGAGAGAATCTGACAAGGAAAACAAAAGTCGAAAGGTTCAGACACTCAAAATTAGACCCAAGCCCAAACCCTAAGACCGAGTAGAACGGGAAAAACGATAGAATCTGAGAAAGGATTTTCAAATTTCCTAAGCTAACCCTTAATGGGCTGAGAAATCGACGATCTAGTCGAGAATAAATTTGTTGAATCAGGGACTACATCCAACTAAGTGGAACTGGGAACTCAAGCTGGAGACGAAGACTGTAGAGAGAGACTGCTCACAATTATCGAAATGCATTTTATATGTTATTTCTGTTTGTTTTCTTTTATAGAGAAGCAACAAGGTTAGAAAGACTTATACTGCTGAAACTTGAGTCATGTCTCCCAACTATTATGGAAGGAATGACAAAATTTCAAAAATGATACATCAAGTTGAGCGTTGTCAACAAAAGTTGTCCCTCACGGAAAGAAACATGTTGTTGGCATTTTGGTCGAAAAAGATGCAGTAATCACCCCACCTGAATAAAAAGCTGACGTGGCATGATTAAGTAATGACGTGACATTATAACTTTCTTTAATTTCCTACAAGGTACTTATGTGGCGTAAGTTGCACCCTCTTTCCATGTACACAACTACACCTAGATAAAAAAATAAAATAAAAAATAATATATATTATTAAGAAAATATTTTGTTAAAAATAATATATTTTGTTAATATATATTTAAAATTAAAAAAAATAAAAACAATTGAATTTTTGGTCTTCTGCCTTTGCCTCCTTATGCCGGCGTCCGCCGTCGTCTTGTCGCCAATCGCCACCGTAGGGGGGGGGGG